TGGCTTCAGGTTGGAAAAAGGGAGATTTGGGTGGGATATTGGGAAGGAATTCCTGGCTCTGAAGGTGATGATGGACAGGGCTGGAATTGCCAGAGCAGCTGTGGCTGCCCCTGGATCCATGGCAGTGTCCRAGGCCAGGCTGGACATTGGGGCTGGGAGCAGCTGGRAYAGCAGGAGGTGTCCCTGCCCATGGAATCAAGAAAGTKTAARTCCCTCCCCACCCGAAMCATTCCATGAWTCTGTGATCCTGCCCCATGCCAGWCTGGGTGAGGGAGACCAGGATTTCCCTGGGATTTGTTTTTTTTCCCCTCTCTGCTTCCAGGAAAGGCTCCTGGCCGGGAGTGAGCAGGACATTGATTTGCACTGCTGCTGATCAGATTTATTGATAATTCAGTGTCCAGATATTCCCAGTGCAGCATTTCCACAACAAACCTATCACCTCTCCCCATGGATTATGGGATCATTGGGTTGGGTTTGCTCCTGCAGAATTCTGAGCTTCCCAGCTCTGGAATCAACACTGATGGGAGCACCTGGACAGGGACAAATCCCCTTCCCATCAGTGACAGCGGAAAGGGAGAGGGGGAAATGTGGAGCAGGGAAAAAACAGGATGGGACACCCCAAATGGTGTCACAGATCCCAGTTCCAGCAGGATCCCTGCAGCCTTTAGGATTTCCCAGCTCTCCCACCAACCCTCCCTGGTGTTCCCTGTCTGCAGGAAGCTGGGGGATGGGCTGTTCCTGCAGTGCTGTAAGGAGGTGGCYGAGCTGTACCCCAAGATCAAGTTTGACACCATGATCATCGACAACTGCTGCATGCAGGTGAGCCACACCCTGGGCCACACCCCTGGTACCTTCCCAGCCTTCCACTGCCRCTCTCTGAGGAGCTGGAACCTCCAAAGTGGGGCCCAGGGTTGTCCCTCCCAGCATTCCCAACTGGAATGCTCCCAATTGGAGCTCTCAGTTCTCCCCCTGGGCAGTTTTGGGTGGTTTGGTCATGGTGGGTTCTGCTGCTCACCTGGGTTGGTGACTGGGTTCCTGCAGCCTCAGTGGTGCTGGGCGTGTTTGTATCCCTAAAAACTGCCCTTTATATCCCTAAAAACTGTCCATCATATCCCTAAAACCTTCCCATTATATCCCTAAAAACTGCCCATCATATCTCTAAAACCTCCCCGTTACATCCCAAAAAACTGCTGTTCATATGCCTAAAAACTGCCCTTTATATCCCTAAAACTGCCCTTCATATTCCTGAAGCTTCCATATCCCTAAAAACTGCCCTTCATCTCCCTAAAAACTCATCTTCATGTTCCTAAAAACTGCCCTTGATGTCCCTAAAAACTGACTCCATATCCCTAAAAACTGTTTTTTGTATCCCTAAAACCTCCATATCCCCCAAAACTGCCCTTCATATCCCTGAAAACTGCTTTTTATACCCTAAAAGCCCCATATCCTTAAAAACTGCCCATGTCCCTAAAAACTCCATATCCCTAAAAACTGCCCTTGATATCCTTTAAAACTCATCTTCATATCCCTAAAAACTGCCCTTCATATCCTGAAAAACCCCTCATATCCCTAAAACTCCCCTTGATATCCCTAAAAGCTGCCCTAATCCCTTCACTGCCGCTCCAGGCAGTTCTGCTGAGAATCCTGGAATGATTTGGGTTGGTGTTCCCATTCCTGTTCCCATTCCCATCCCAGTTGGTGCAAAATCCCTACCAGTTTGATGTCCTGGTGATGCCCAACCTCTACGGGAACATCGTGGACAATTTGGCCGCGGGGCTGGTGGGCGGCGCGGGCGTCGTGCCTGGTGAGAGCTACAGCGCTGAGTACGCCGTGTTTGAGCTGGTGAGCAGGGGGGGATCCCAGTGGGATTCCTGGGGGGAATTCCCATGAATTGTGGGGTGGGATGATCCCATCACTGTGTGTCCCACAGGGAGCCCGGCACCCCTTCGCCCAGGCTGTGGGCAGGAACATCGCCAACCCCACGGCCATGCTGCTCTCGGCCTCCAACATGCTGCGGCACCTCAAGTGAGTGCTGGGCTCAYGGGGGGTTTTGRRGGKTCTGGGGGCTTCYCAGGGGCTCATCTCCCCCTKCTCCCTCTTTTCCAGCCTGGAATAYCACTCCAACCTGATYGCAGATGCGGTGAAGAAGGTGATCAAAGGTGGAAAAGTGAGTGCGGGGCACTGGGTAGGGCTGGTGTTGCTGGTGTCGCGTCCTCGGCGAGGCTCCGGCTCCTCTCTTCTTTCCAGCKGGAATTCTGGCTCCTGTTTTCCTTCCAGCTGGAATTTTGCCTCTTCTTCTCTAACTGGAATCCTGGGCCCACAGCTGCGTCCCACCCCTGTGCTTGCCCCTGTGGTCATGTCCTGGCAAGGGAGGGACTCTGGCAGGGCTGGGGGACCCTCCATGGCCCCATCCCCACCCCAAGTCCCAGCAGGGCTCTCAAGGACCTCTCCACAGCCCCATTCCCACCCCAGATCCTGGCAGGACATTTAGGGGACCCCACCCATGGCTCTATTCCCACCTGGATCTTGGCAGGGCTCTCGAGGGTCGCCGTTCTCTCTCTCTCTCCTGTCCTCTCCCTCTCAGAGCCAGTTCCCTCCGTTCACCACCACATTTCTCCCGTTTCTCCCCCTCCCTGTGTTGGATTTGCAGGTCCGGACTCGGGACTTGGGCGGTTACTCCACCACTTCTGACTTCGTCAAGTCCGTCATTGACAACCTGCACCCCCACTACGGGGCTTAGGACCCCCAGCAGCTTCCCTGCAGCCCCTCCCCACAGCCCCTCCCTGCCCTTCATCACCCCACAGGGAGGAGGGTGGCCCAGTAACCCCAGCAATCCATTTACCCCCACCCCAGTCCCCCAGCAGGGATTGCTCCATGGAGGCGGCCAGTGCGGATTTTGGGATTTGCTGGGATGAYTTGGGGGGCGATGGGGCAGTGCCCCAAATTCATAGGCAGCTTTTAAGGACATTGGGACCAGCATGGCTCTGGGACCCCCCTTCCCACGGGATCCCCGTGACCATGGGACCCCCATTCCCATGGGATCCCTGTGACTGGGACCAGTGTGGTTGTGGGACCATCATGACTGTGGGATCTCCATTCCCATGGGATCCTTTCAGCTGTGGGACCCCCATTTCTATGGGACCAGTGTGACTGTGGGATCCCAGTGACCATGGGACCCCCTTTCCTGAGGGACCCATCCCATAAAGCTTGTAGCAATAAACAAAGTGATGTCCCCTACCCTCCCCCTCCCCTTGGCAGCTGCTGGCACAGGGTCCCCACACGGGGACAATTCCRGGCATGGAGTGGCCTCGGAACCTTCTGGACCTGGGACAGGGTGGGGAGCTGCACTGTGTGCCCCCAGTCCATGGAGTTGGGGGTTCCCAGGGCTCTGGGATGTGATCCTCGGTACCAGGCCTGATGCCACCCCGGGGCTCTGGTGCCATCCTGGGGCTGTGGGGCCGTGTCATCGTGTCGTGCTCTGTATTCCTGCTTTACTAATAAAGGGTCCAACGCTTGCCCTGGCCTGGGGGGAATCTCACAGCTTTGGGGTGCTGGGAGGGGCTGCTCTAACCTGGGGGGATGCAGTGCTGTAACCAGAGCCTGAACTGGACTTTGGGGTGCCCCTGAGCTGGTGTGGGGCAGGGGGGGGGGGCCATCAGTCCCCCCCGAGGGACAGGGACATTCTGGGGAGTGCCAAGGGCTCAGAGGAGCCCGATCCCACAGTGCCACAGCCCAGCCTGGAGCCACCACTGTCCTTGGGGTCCTGTCCCTTGTCCCTAACCTCCCCTCTCCTTGCAGGTGCGCACGGCGGACATGGGGGGCTATTCCACCTCCGAGGATTTCACCCARGCCGTGATAAATTCCCTGGAGGCGTAGTGTCCCTCACCCCCTGTGACTCCAATAAACGTGGCCTCAGGCCTGATGGTGGTGCCATCGTGTCCCTAGGGCTGCTGGTGACAGGGTGACCCCTGTGGGGACAGCCTGGACACCCCCAGCCACGGAGCAGGACAGGAGGGATCAGCAACAACCTCAGCCCTTTATTGGGGTTTGGGCACCCCGAATGGGTCCTGTCCCCCTGCATTGCAGAGCCAGGGGCGACACAGCCTGGGGACACCCCCGAGCAGCCCGAGGTCCCCAGGGAAGGGGACATGGGGTTGGAAGTTCCGCTGCGTAAGGCACAGTCCAGGGGCTGCTGGTGGCCAAAGGGACTCACCCAGGCCCCGAGGGGCTGTGCCACGTTCCAAGTGGCCTCTGTGCCACAAGCCACAGCCAGGGACACCGCGGGGAACAGGTGAGTGGCCGCTCCCTGCTCCTGTCTGTCCGTCAGTCTGTCAGTCCGAGTGCCGGAGCTCCCGCTCCAGCCCTGCTCTCTAATCCGAGTCCTGAGCCACTGCCTTCTTCTTCTTCTTCTTTTTCTTCTTCTTCTCTTCCTCCTCCTCCTCCTGCTCAGGCTCCACCACAACTTTCCTTTTCTTCTTGGGCAARGGCTCTTCTTCCTCCTCCTCCTCTTCCACCCCATTCTCCTCAGGCTCTGGCTCCGTTTCTGGCTCTGCTTCTGATTCCTCCGGCTGCTGCTGCTTCTTCTTTTTCTTCTTCTTCTTCTTGGCCCCCACGTCGTTCTCCTGTGGGGAGCCCTGGGATCAGCTCTGCCCTCCCATCCTGGCATCTGGAGGATCCAGAACAAAGCCAGACCCCCTAAAAATCCCCCAGCAKGGTCTGGCCCCCATCCCCCCCTCACCTCCATCTCAGAGACTACTGAGTTTTCTGCCGTCTCCTCAGCAGCCGCTGCCAGGGCCTCCAGCCGCCGCTTCTCCCGCTTCTTCCTCTTCTTCTCCTTTTTCTCCTGCCTCCTCTTCACCTCAGCCACCACCTCGTTGGCCTGGGGGGACACACATGGGGACATGAGTGTGGGGAAGGGTCTCAGGGTCTGTCCCCACCCCTGGCACCGGTCGGATCAGACTCATTAAATCAGTCTTTTGCCTCCACAGTGGGTCAGGATGGCACAGTGACATCACCTCCGACACAGGCCCTCACCATCATCTTCAGCATCTCCACTGCCATCCTCCACTATCCCACCATCTCACCATTATCTTTGTCAGACCTTCACCATTATATTCAGCACCTCCACCACCCTCACAGCCCTCATCACCTCACTCACCATCTCCATTCCCAAGTACCTCAGGGTACCACTGCCATCTTCATCTCCCCCAAGATCTCACCTCCTTTATCACCTGAACACTTCCATTGTTCCCATCTCTCTCAGCATCTCACCTCCATCACCTTCTTCACCTTTCCAACACCTCACCACCACTGCCATCTTCACATGCCCCAAGACCTCACCCTCACCTCCATCCCTCCATTTCTCACATTCACTGCTCTTCTTCATCCCTGAGCATCCCCACMTCTTCTTCCTCCTTACCTCCACCACGGCCTCCTTCATCACCTCCAGGTTCTTGCGRGGTGGCTCCCCAGTCTCGTAGAAGGCCAAGCGCTCCTCCACCTGCTCCCGCAGCTTGTCCCCAAACACGCTGGTGGGGACCTCTGTGGGGAGGGGACAAAGGGGGCTCAGCACTCACCCTGCACCCCCCAAACCCTCCCGAGYCCCCCCGTGCTCTGCTCAGCCCAGAGGTGTCACCATTCACACGRGGTGAAATGCTGTTGACGAAAAATATTCCCATCACGGCAGAGCAGCCCTGAACCCCACCTGAACACCCTCCCCATGGCCATCCGAGCAGCAGGGATAGTGCTCCCGCAGGGTCTGTGTCACCCCAGTGCTACCCCTGAGCAGCAGGGACTGCACCGGGTGACAGTGCCCACCCTGGCCGGATCTGTGTCACCCAGTGCCACCCGTGAGCAGCAGGGACTGCACCAGGTGTCAGTGCCCACCCTGGCACCCCCCCCCCGAGCATCAGGGACTGCACTGGGTGACAGTGCCCACCCTGGCAGGGTCTGTGTCACCCAGTGCCACCCTTGAGCAGCAGGGACTGCACCAGGTGGCAGTGCCCACCCTGGCCGGATCTGTGCCCCCCGGGTACCCCCCGTGCCCACCTGAGAAGCAGTCGATGCGCGAGGCGATGGTGCACTTGTTGGCCAGGTACCGCGAGATCCGCCCCTTGTTCTTGGCGGCCGCGCGCCCGATGAAGGTGGAGTGGAAGATGAGGCCGTACTTGGGGGTGTTCCCCCGCGTTTTCAGCGCCCTGTGAGGGGCCAGGGGTGGTCAGGACCCCTGAATGCATCCCCCACCCACCCATGGGACAGACCCTCCCCACCCCGCTGCGCTCCGGGGGTCGCTCAGAGCAGGGCCGGCCGCTCACCCCCGCCGAGRGCCCGGCGTGTCACGGCCGCAGCCCCGCGCCCGCCATCACCGCGACCCACGGCGGTACCTGAACAGCGCCTTCTCGGCGCCCAGGATCTGCACCGTGGACGCCGGGTACTTGGCCAGGTTGGTCAGGCTGCCAGCGTGTGAGATGAGGCGAGCACCCACCTAGGGGGACAGCACAGGGAGGGGGTTACATTCTCTGCATTCTCTATGGAGCCCCCCAGGGCACACAGAGCCCCCCCAGGCCGGGGATCAGCAGTGGAAGTGTCAGCAGCACAACTCAGTGGATTGACAGATTCACTCTGACATCATCTCCGCGGCTGGGGAGGGGACAGGGGGACWGCAGGGACACTCACCACCTCCCCGATGAGGGCTGACAGGCTGGGAGCCACCTGGCTCATCTTGGAGCGCAGGTACTCCTGCAGCCCCTTGCGGTACTCGGACAGCGAGATGACCCGGCGYGAGAAGCTCTCGATGTTGATGAGGTCCAGCGGGGAGATGTCCATCCCTGGGGGGAGCACGGGATGAGTGATAGCACTGACCACATGGCCAGGCCCCCCTTGAGCCCCTCAGAGCCCCGCTCACCCATGGAGGAGCGTGARGCCTCCAGGATGGCCTGGGCCTTGGCGCTGTCCATGACAATCTCCTCCAGCCCCTCCAGGCTCTCCTCGCTCAGCTCGCGGCGGTTCCCGATGAATTTGGCCACCCGGCAGTACATGGAGTTGTCGGGGATGATCTTGATCAGCTCGGGGAAGTGGTACCCGTACCACTCGCTGTGGGGACAGGGACAGGGTCAGTGGGGTCACCTTGCCCCTGCACAGCTGTATCCTCACTGTGAGCCCCTCACTGTGCCTTCATTGCCCAGCACCCCCTCAGGCCACCCCACCACAGTCCCAAGTGTCCCCCCAGGTCCACGCCACGGCYCCATGGCCTGGCCAAAGGCCCCCGGGGTGCTGCTGTCCCTCCCCGGTCTGTACAGGCGGCCGGAGCAGCAGCTGCCTGTGGTAAGCATGGGGAGGAGGAACCCCCAAACCCTTCAAAYCCCCCAAATGTGTCCCCACTGACCGGACACGCATGGAGAAGGTGTTGATGTCCTTGTCCAGCTGGTCCAGCAGGCTGATGGACTGGATGATCATGTTGTCCACCCKGTGCACGTTGAACTTCACCTTGGCCCGGGAGTAGCTGTGGCCGAGCCCCAGCTGGGCCTTGGCCGCTGACTGCGCCGTGAGGCCTCGGACCAGAGCAGGGAAATGCAAACGGATCCCTGCGGGGACACAAGGGACACCAGGGACACGAGGTCACCMTTTGGGAACTGAGCTCTCAATGTGCACGGACTGAAGTGGCACCACAAGGGAACAAAGATGGTTACACTGAATAGTGAGGGAGCACCGTGCAAGGACAGCGGTGCCACCACGTGGGCACTGAACTGCRCACATGGGGACTGAGGTGACACCACACAAGAACAGAAATGTCCCCATCCCAGAATTCAACCATTACCACGTAAAATCTGTCCCCACGTGGGCATTAAGATGCCATTTCTGGCAGCTCCAGCTCGATCCCAGGGACACCCCCCAACAATGCCCATCAAGGCAGTGGGTCCCCCCSACTCCTGACCCCTCCCAATGGAATCCCAGCCACATCAGGACCCCACCGAAGTGTCCCTTGTCCCCACTCACCACGCATAAGCTCAGCCACGACGCCCCCGGTCTGGCATTGGACCCCCAACTCCTCCAGCACGGCCGCGCCCATCTTGGCATCGCCCACCCCCAGCACCACCTTCTTCCTCTTGGGGGGCAGCGCCGTGTCCAGCATCAGCCGCAGATCCTCGTGCAGGACTCCTGCGGGACAAAGGGGGGGTCAGAGGGGCCCGGGAATCACCGTGGGAGGGGGTTCCGGTGTCCCCGGCCCCACACTCACCCTCGGACACGGCGTTCATGTTCTCCAGCGCGCTCTGCGCAGAGCGGAACGGCGAGAACGCCACGAGYTTCACCATATTGTGGAACTTTCCCACCGTGAGAACGCTCTCCTCCACCTGCGGGGGGAACGGGGCSGAACGGGGGGCTCCGGTCACAGCCGGGCACGGGGAACGACCCCTGGCAGCGGAACCAGGGTGCGACCCCTCCCGGCACCCCCAGGGCTCCCCCCCGGTTCCCTCCCACCCAGTCCCCTTCTCCGTTCTCCTCCCCACATCTCACCGGTCCCCGTTCCCAGCCTTCCCCCACCCCGTTCCTCCCAATTCCCGCTTTCTCAGCTCCCCTCCTCCCGTTCCCGGTCCGTTACCTGCGGCAGGAGAAGCCCGATCTCCTCCACCTCTCGCACGGCGAACAGCGCGTACCCGGCCGCATGTTCGAACAGCACGTGCAGCAGCACCTGCGGCACCGAGAGCTCCGCTCACCGAGGGCAGCACCGGGGCCGCGCTCCCGCCCATCCCCGCGCCCGCCGCCCCACCGGAGCGCCCGATCCGGCTCCATGAGGCTCCCCCGGCCTCCCGCAGATCCCGGCCCGTCCCGATGCGCTCGGAGGGGGATCCCGAGCCATCYCCGCTCCCGATGGTGTCGGATGCGGCCCCGACCCCTCCCTCACTCACCATCGTCCTCCCGCCGCCGCCRCCAGCCGGAACTGACGCGCTGCCCCTCGGCGGAACTCCACCCCCTCCCTCCTCCACCAATCAGCGCCCGCGCCGCAGCGCTCTCCACCAATCATCGCGGGCTGCTCTCGACGCACCCGCCCCGCAGCCAATCAAGGAGAGGACGGGCTGGCCCCGCCTCCCTTCGTCGCGCCTGCCAATCAGAGCCGGGAAGGGGCGGCTTCTCCCGCCTTTTCCTGCGCGCCCGCCAATGGGAGCCGCGCSCGCGCGCCRGCCCCGCCCCTTCCCGCSCGGTTCGATGCGCGCGCGGCCGCACGTGGCGGGAGCCGCCACCCCAAATGTGCCCCCGGTGCCATCCCGGGACCCCCAAATGGCCCCGTGTCCCCTCCCGGGGCGCCCAGAGCCCCCTCGATTCCCTCACGGGACCCCCGGTGCCCTCCAAGTGTCCCCTTAGTCCCAGCCGGGACCCCTAAATGTCTCTCAGCGCTCTCGCCCTCGGTGCCATTCCAGGACCCCCAAATGTTCCCCCGGTTCCTGGGGTTCTCTGTGACCCCCGGGGTCTTCCCACTCCCCTCCTGGGACTCGCAGTGCCCCGCTCGGATCCTTCCTGTGACCCCTGGTCCCCTTCCGTGATCCCCCAGTGCTCCTCCATCCCCTCCTGAGACATTCGGGGACCCCTCCTGTGCCCCCCAATGCCCTCCAAGTCCCGTTCCGTGTCCCCCAGTGTCCCACTCGTACGCCCTTCGTGGCCCCTCAGTGCTCCCCACGGTCCCTCCATTGTCCCCAGCCCCTGTACCCAGTTCCAGGCGCAGGAAGCAGGTCCAGGGAAGTTTTATTGGATGGCAGGAGCACGGGGGGGCCGCAGCCCCGGCCCCACGGGGGTCCCGGGGGTGTCTGTAGTGTCCGAGAGCAGCGCGGGGGGCCCGGATCCCCCCGGGGGAAGCGGCTCCGGCTCCCACCCGCGAGTGGGGCCRGGATGGGGGGAAGCGGAGAGTCCCAAGGTGGGGAACAGCGGGGACAGGGGTCCCTCGGGGGCGGCTCAGGCGACGAAGTGCTGGCGGAGGTGCTGGAGCAGGTCGGGGGTGAGCAGCACCCGGTGGGCTTGGCCGTGGCCCGGAGCACACGGGATCGTCACCCGCCCGCACAGCGCCGGGCCCTGCGCCTGCTCCTGCTTTGCCTGCAGGGACAGTGGGACACTCAGAAGGGGACCCCCGGCCACCCCCACCCTCCTGGGGATGGAGGGTCCCCACCCCACCATGGTGTCCCCAAGGGGTCCCCCAGGGTGGCTGTTGTAGTTCATGGGTTGGGGCGGAATGAGGGTCCTCATGCACTGGATCCCTCGGGAATGGGGTCCCTCAGAACTGGGGGGCTTTTCAGGATCAGGGCATCCTTCAGGATTGGGGTCTGTCAGGACTGGGGGTCCCTCAGGATAGGGGATTCCATGGCAATTGTGGTCTATCAAGACTGGGAGACCCTCAGGAACAGGGTTCCTCAGGATCATGGTGTCCCTCAGGATTTGCATTCTTTAGGATTGTGATTCCTCAAAACTGGGGTCTTTCAGATTAGGGGGTTCCTTGGGATTGGGGTCCCTTGGGATCAGGGGTCCCTCAGGAATGGGAA